TAGGATCAAGTTTCTGTGCTTCTGTTTTTGGCTTTTTGCCATATATATTAATCATTGAATTATTTTGTTAGTTTGGATTTGCCTATAATTTTTGTGAATTTTTATTCTGTCCATAACAATAAGAATTTGTTATCAAGATCAATGTGTTAACGTTTTGTTCTATTGTTTCGCGGGTAAGACAAATTTAACATCAAAAAAGAAAAAAAGAGAATGAAATTTGGTTTCACAATAACATGTACCAGATTTTAAATGATGTGCAGATTTGAAAAAAAAAAAGCGCAGATTTAAATAAATAATTAAATAATTAATTTAAAAAAAAAACAGATTGTGTAGATTTAGAAAACAGATCGTGCATGTTTGGAAAACAGATTGTGCGGATTTGGAAACAAATTGTCAAATTGTGCAGAATTGGAAAACAGAATGTGAAATATCTGTCAATTGCCAAGTTATAGTTTAGATGTTTTGTTTGCTTGAGAATTGATGAAACTTAGACAAAAATACAGAAATAAATGAAAGTAAATTGATACATACAAGAAATTTTCTAATGATTTAAATTTAGTTGCTGTGTTTCCTGTTAATTTAGTTTGTGGCGCATGTAGGAAATTTTGGTTTAAGTTAAGAGTAGGCTTACTGACCAAGGAGAATTCACTGAAATATTGAAAGAAGAATTGACATAAATAGAGTTTACAGGAGTCATATATTTATTCTTTGTTAGTTAAAATTTTCATTTTTGATTAAATCTATTGAATCTGTTTGTCATTTTAATTCTGTTTTTGTCATTTTAATTATAAATGAAAAATACTCCAAAATTAATGTATGTAATAATTATATTTATATAAAAGTTATGGAGTGCTAATACCTTCACCTTTGGATTCTAATCAATCACCACACAGACTTTTAAATTTATCCTACCTCATTTGGATAAACGGTGACTTCATCCATTCTAGCACATCAATAATCACCAATAAACAACTAAGCATATTACATGAGCAATGGCATCCATCTATATTTATAAAACACAAATTAACATTCTATGTCATAATATATTAAATAAAAAAGTATAGAAATAAGTATTAACAATGAAGACTAACCAATATTACATCATAGTTTTCTCATAATAGGAGAGAGGTCATGTAATACCAAGTTACTAACTCCATATATACCAAAAAAATTTAAGACATGGCAAACTCAGTACTAAAATAATTTACTACCTCCACCAGTTTCAGTAGAATTCATGGCAACCGACGCAACATTTGAGGATCCTGCAGGTTAAAGAAAAAGTTAAAACAATAATATTCCATAATTAGAAGAATGTCAAAAATCTATAATAATGCGGCAAAATATATACATACCGCCAAATTTCCTGCAAACATTTCAGGTTCCAGCAAAGAGTTTACAAAAGTATCCCAGTCAGAAGAATCGAGTGTTACATCCTTTTGAAATTTCAGAGAAAGAGTTGAAAAGATTCAGATAAAGGGCAGTAGAAGAAAACACAAAATGGTCTAAAACTTTCGAAAACATGCACATAATGTGTGGCTTAGGGGCGGAATCAGGGCCCATTGCAGGGTAAGCGTAAGGCTGTGATGATAATAATACAGAAGAACCTATTTTGTTGATGTACACCAAGTCATGTTTACCTTCTGTTTATGCTTACTTTTGTTATGAAATGCTTATGCTAACTGTCATGACTTGATCAGTACATTGCTAATTATCTAAATTATGCATAAGAGAAATCTGTCATGAGCATTTCTATTCCTCTTTTAGCATGTATTAAAATTCAGTAGGTTGTTTTTAGCATGTATTAAAATTGACTAATAATTATATAGGGCTCAGTTATAGCTTGAAGCCAAGCTCATCGTTGTGTATATCATCTCATTTCAGACTAGCTAGCTTAAGAGGTGTGTCAAGTGTAGCTGACATCAATCCTACTACTCCAGATTAGTAATGCAAACCTGTCTATTTACCAAAACTAGAATTTGGATCCATTATTTTGTAGGCCATTTGCATTTAATTAAGCTTTACTATATCTGTTTGTAGACAATTTATACTCATCTACTTTCCAGTTACATGCAGTCATTGTTAGACCTTTATTTGATGCTGAAATTTATTAGCAATCTAAGTCATGTACAAGCTAGCTTAACTAGACTGTGTTCTCCTTCAAGAACTTACATACGTATATTTGTAGCTATATGTGATTCCAAACTCATGCTTTAGCTTATCTAATTACGGTTATTCTTATGCTAAGCTTTTCCTCTGCACTACTCTGATTTTAAATGCTAAAAATTACGGTACCAAATTGTGATGGAATACAAAAAATTCTGATGGAATTTTAATCCATTTTGATTGAATATACGCATGCTGAGGTTTTTATTAGTCATGAGTCACAACTCATACCATGTCCATAAGGACTACTAAAGGGTGAGTGCTTAAACTAGTATCACAAACTATGCCATTCTCCAACAGACCAAATTCATCGACTAAGAGAGTATGTATTTTTTATCTGAATGCGTACCTGCTGGAGATCATCCAAACTAAGTTCTTCAATGCTCCCTTGTCCAAGCTCATCATAAGTAAAAGTATTCAGCTCCTCCTGCGGAGGTGCCCATGATGAGGTGGAGGCCTCCTTACCATGAGAAGCCTCCCTTGTTTGTATTTGTGTACCTTCGTTGGTTGAGAACAGAGATCCTTGAGTAGCCAGTGCAGTGGCTGCCTGACAGTAATTCTGGCGAGCCTCAGCCATAAACCCACTAATTGGGGAATGAGTCGAATGACTTGGAGTAGCATAAGAAGTTGGAGGCATGTCCCCATGGGGTACATCCAGTTCTTCCTCTCTTTTTCTCTTCAACTTCCCTTCTGGCTCAAATGGGGTTCCCATTGCTGTCAGATTCAAAACAAAAAAGTTAGCCCACAAAAATTAAGACAGCAAAGGGCACTTGTTGCTCCGGGTGGGCTGGCAAAGTGCACCAAAATCCTTGCCCATGCCAAGGTTCAAGTTGCTGTAGTGACAATTGTAAAATCCCCACTAAAATCCCTGGCCCATGCCAAGGTTCAAGTTGCTGTAGCTACAATTATAAAATCCCCACTTCCCCAGAGCTACTTGAATTCACCATACCTCCAAAGCTACTTGAATTCATGTCAGTGACACCTTCTAGTCCCCCCGTTTGAATCATTTCAATTTCAAGGTTCTGCAGGTTAAGAAAATGTTAACACACTAGTAGTTCTGTAATTAGAAATGACAAAAGCATAAATGCAACATAACATCATATATAACGCCAACAGGTCCTAAAAGTTAATAAATTAAAATTAAGTTAAAACACTAATTCCATAGGAGAGACTAATTACAACATTACAACATCTTAAAACGCTAACATCTTCCTGGAAGTGGAACTTAAGAGGAGTAGGAAAGAGTCAGATAAAGAGTGATGTAATTAATGTATTAAATTCTACCAAAAAGAAGAGATGGTTGGAAGGAAGTACCTTCCACACTTCACAAAACTTTTTGTATTCTTCATTGATTTTTCTTTCTTCCTCTTCCTTAACCTATATTAAAACAAAGATTAGTCAAAATAATAGATCAAGGGAAAGGGAAGTAAAAATCTATTGTTCAATCTTGTCGACTACATTTTTTATATATAGAATTACTAGTGCATAAAGAAAAGTTTTGGATAAGAAACTCAAGAGAAGGATCATCACACCTTTAAACAAACGGCTTTGAACCTCTCAGTAACTCCCTCCTCAAAAAATTTCTTGAACAGTTCTTGCCATTTCTGAAGAGTAATGAATTCACTTGACAAATATATAATTCAAACAGAAATCTTAAATTACAAAGAAAAATTATCACTAAATGCAACTAAATTAACTAAATAACTGCAAACTATTAAGCTTGGCTCTAATATCAGCAACTATATACTAAAATGCTAATCACCATCAATTGAACTACTACAAGGTTTTTATATGATCACATTCTGATCATGCCAGTGCTTTCTTGGATTATAAATCTGTTTGGTTGATAGAAAGTGCATAAATTAAGATCATAATCGATCATACCTTTGTACTTTCTTCAATTCTTTTCCTGCACTTTTCACTATAGGCTTTGAGCTCATCAATAATTCTGGGCTCCTTACAAAAGCCCTCATATTTTTTGAGTAGATTTTGCATCTACAAATAAAACAGAGTAGATGAAAATTTTTTAGGAATATAATTCAAGTAAACATCAATTATTCAAAACAATATAGATTCAATCATTAGTATGAAACCATTTTTTTGCCACAAATAAACTATTATATTATAGAGAAATAAACTCATCCGTTATATTACAATACATGTAAACAGATCCCAAACATTAGAATCTACACAATATCCTCAAAATAACATACAAAGAAAACTGCTTAACTAAACATAGAGCAGTTTCTGGAGAAAAAGTTTGCTGCAGCCCTAGGCCTGGAGAGTAAGCAGGAAGGTGGAAACTCAGCTGTCAGCCCAAGGGCTCATCATCTAGTCATGGGAGCTTCCTTTTAAGCTTGTACATTACTACCTCATCCTTTACTTGGTTTGTTTTAAAGCAGAATGGACACATGGGAGATTACCCTTGGAGGGATTACTGCACCATGGTGCCAATCCACATCCTTGAAGTAAGATAGACAAACAAAAAAAGACTTGAAAACCATATAAAGAAGAAACGGGGAGATGTTTGAAACTCGAAGGCAGTGTGAGTATGGAGATTCAACTCAAACAAGCACCACAGCCAAACACAAACCACATATTCTGTGTACACATACTCAGATCACATGCTAACATGATAGAAAAACCATATTACCATCCCTAAAGTAGCTCCCACACCACTTCTTTTATAATCATCAGCCAAAGACTAACTTAAGAGAAATTGAATGTAAGCTGAATGACATGAATGTATATTTTTATGCTTCTAATGATGATTTATGTTATAAACAGATTGTGTTGTGCATGATCTTGTATCTATGTAGGTGAGTGTTATGTTTTTGGCTTAACATGTTATGGATCTAATGAGAATAGTGGACCTCTGTGCATGCAGTAGGGATGTGCTGAGACTAGCTTCATTACTAGAGTGTGAGTACATGCACACTAGTGGACAGTGGACTCCATAGCCATTTAGTTTATACTCAATTTATTTTTTTGGTGTTTATGTTTGCACTCTTATTGTTTAAGTCTCATTTATATTAAGACTAATCCTGCATTCTATAGCTAATTATGAAATCCAGGAAAACCTATTTTGTTGACGTACACCATATCATGTTTAACTTCTGTTTATGCCTAATTTTGTTATGAAATACTTATGCTAACTGTCAAGACTTGGTCGGTATATTGCTAATTATCTAAATTATGCCTGAGTGAAATCTGTCATGTGCGATTCTATTGCTTTTCTAAATTCAGTAGATTGTTTTTAGGATGTATTAAAATTGACTAATAACTATATATTGCTCAGTTATAGCTTGAAGCCAAGCTCATGCTTTTGTATATCATCTCAATCAGACTAGTTAGCTTTAGAGGTGAGTCAAGCAGAGATGACATCGATCCTTCTACTCCATATTAGTAACACAAACTGGTATATTTAACAAAACTAGAATTTGGCACCATTATTTTGTAGCCTTTTGTATCTAATTAAGCTTTACTATATCTGTTTGTAAACACTTTAAGTTCATCAACTATCCAACAACTGCATGTAGTCTTTTGTTAAAACTTTGTTTGATGCTGAAACTTATTAGCTATTTCAGTCATCTACAAGCTAGCTTAACTAGACTGTGTTCTCTTTAAAGAATTTACATACGTAAGAACTTATGCTTTAGCTTATCTAATTACTGTGATACATAAAATCTTCATCAAGCCTCTTGAATTCTTACCTCTGAACTTTCTTCATTTCTTTTCCTGTAATCTTCACTAAAGGCTTTGAACATTTCATTGATTCCAGGCATCTCACAAAAGGCCTCGAATTCAGTGCGTTCAAACTGCATTTACAATTAAAGCACAACAGACAAGGATTTTTTAAGAATATAATTCAAGTAAACATCAATCATTCAGAACAACATAGATTCAATGATTCATATGAACCCTTTTTTTTTTTTCCCCCACAAATAAACCATTATATTATAGAGAAATAAGGTCATTCATTATTACAACACAAATAAACAGATCCTAAACAGTAGAACCTCCAGAAAATCTTCAAAATAACATACAAAAAAACTGCATAACAAAACATAGAGCAGGTTCTGGGGAAAAATTTGCTGCAGCCCTAGGCCTGGAGAGTAAGAGGGAAGGTGGAAACTAGGCCGTAAGCTCAAGGGCCAATCGTCTAGTCATGAGAGCTTCCTTTTTATTTTATTTATTTTTAATCAACTCATGGGAACTTCCTTTAAGCTTGTATGCTACTACCTCTCATCCTTCACTCAGCTTGTAATTTTAAAGCAGAGAGGAGATATAGGGGATTTAATTATGGAGGAATTACTGCCCTATGGTGCCAATCCACCTCCTTGAAATGAGATGGGCAACCAAAAAAGACTTGGAAACCATATAAAGAAGTAACATGGAGACGGTGTATGAGATTCTACTCAAACCAGCACCACAGCCAAACAACCAACCACAATTCTGTATACACATACTCAGGTCATATGCTAACATGATAGAAAAACCATACTACCATCCCTAAAGTAGCCCCCACACCACTTCTTTTATGGTTATCAGCCAAAAACTAACTTAAGAGAAATTGAATGTAAGCTGCATGACATGCATGTATATTTATATGCTTCTAATGATGATTTATGTTATAAACAGATTATGTTATGCGCTATTACAGTTGACTGAAAAGATAGAGCCAGCTTTGCGTCCGTTTTTCACGCATATCAAATTGTGGACTTAAATTTTTCTCCCATAGAGCTGGCTGCTGCTCTTAGAGCCAACTCTCTACACTTTTCTTCACCAAAGTCGGCTGCATATTTCTAGAGCCGGCTCTACACTATTTTCTAGCTTTTTGGTCTATTTTTAGTACAGTCCAAGTTCATCCACTTTTGCAATTTTTTAGGTTTTTAACTACACACTTAAATAAACAAATTAGTCACTCAAATATATTTTGTAATCATCAAAATCATAGATTCAACATGAATATGTTAGCAATTCTGGGCTCCTCACAAAAGTCTTCGTATTCCTTGAGTTGAAACTGCATTTACAATTGCAACAGAATAGATGAGGATTTTTGTGCATGGATAGGCAAGTTGCCTGAATTTATTTTACTCCCCCTTCATTGTGACAGTTATTTCATTGACTTTTATCTTCTAAAATAGCAGTGAAAAATGGACGTGATGGCATAGTTTTCTTTGCAGCATTCTACCGCTAGGAATTCAAATTGACTAATCACAATAATCCGATGTTCTACTTTTCTGGTGTGAAGGGAAATTTAGTGGCTTTGAGAATGGATGATGAAGAGAATGTATCTTTTGAATTACTTGAGAAGCCTGAGTGTCCTTTGTGATTCCTTTCGCCAGAACTTTCAATTAGGATGTGATGAGGAGATTCTTTCTATGGTTGTGGCCGGGTTTCTTAGGAGAATGAGTTCAGATTTCTAAACTCTATTGCATTAGGATGGATTGCTAGTAACAAACACTCTTTTAAACACCAACGAACTATTAGTTCAAGTGAAAATAACTCGGCTTCTCTTAAATAAGGTCTCAAATTCGAGTCTTATAAATAGAGAAACAAGTGCTGAAAAAGTTTTCCCCTAATGAGATTTGACGTAGCTCGATTCTGAATTACACAGGATTCAATGTAATTACCAAATACCAAGAAATTAGTACAAAAAAAAAACTCTAAAAAAACATTATTAACTATCTATGCATTGCGAGGTGTGATACCTTGTAATTTATATAATTAACATAAAGTTTGAGCATCCCATTTGGCACAACCACCTGATTAGTGTTCTTGTAATTAAGTTAATATCATTCTAAATAATAACTGCACCAACATAATTAATCCATAGCTACAATAAGCCGCTATGAACATAAAACGTGCACCATCCACGTGACACGTCCCATAAGAAACTACATAAAAGTGGGGATCAAGAGAAAGGTATACTTAAAAATAAACATGTAGTTTATATAATTAACATCCAGTGCAAATATCCCATTCAACACAACCACCTAATTAGTGTTCATGTAATTAAGTTCGTATCATTCTAGATAACAGCTAAACCAACATAATCCATAGCTACGATAAGCCAACGTAAACATAAAAACCTGCATCATCCATGTGACATGTCCCAAAAGAAATGACATAAAAAGTGGGATCAAGGTAAAGTTAAAACTTTTCATTGTGTGGTGAGGACTGGGTGGTGCGATCACCAGAGGATCCAGCAGCAGCAGTAGTTTCTCCTTGCATGCCAAGAGGGTCATGATGAGGCTGTGCAGAAGATATAATAGGGTCATGTAATAGGAAGTTACTAACTCCAAATATAGCCAAAAAAAAAAATGAAGACATGGCAAACTCGGTACTAAAATAACTCACTACCTCCACTAGTGGCAGTAGAATTCATGGCAGCTGAGGCAACATTTGAGGATCCTGCAGGTTAAAAAAAAAGTTAAAACAATAATATTCCATAATTAGAAGAATGTCAAAAATACCATAATAATGCAGCAAAACATATATACATACCCGTGGAATTTCCTGTGAACATTTCAGGTTCCAGCAAAGAGTTAAGAAAAGTATTCCAGTCAGAAGAATCGAGTGTTAGATCCTTTTGAAATTTCAGAGAAAGAGTTGAAAAGATTCAGATAAAGGGCAGTAGAAGGGAAACATGAAATAGTCTAAAACTTTTGAAAACATGCACATAATGTGTGGCTTAGGGGCGGAATCAGGTCCCATTTCTGGGTACGCATAAGGCTGTTATGGTAATAATACAGTAGAACCTATTTTGTTGATGTACACCTTGTCATATTTAACTTCTGTTTATGCCTAATTTTGTTATGAAATGCTTATGCTAACAGTCATGATTTGATCAGTACATTGCTACTTATCTAAATTATGCATAAGAGAAATCTGTCATGAGCATTTCTATTCCTCTTTTAAATTCAGTAGGTTGTTTTTAGCATGTATTAAAATTGACTAATAACCATATAGGGCTCAGTTATAGCCCAAAGCCAAGCTCATCGTTGTGTATATCATCTCATTTCAGACTAGCTTGCTTAAGAGGTGTGCCAAGTGTAGGTGACATCAATCCTACTACTCCAGATTAGTAACACAAACCTGTATATTTGCCAAACTAGAATTTGGATCCATTATTTTGTAGGCCTTTTGTATTTAATTAAGCTTTTACCATATCTGTTTGTAAACACTTTATGCTCATCTACTTTCTAGTTACATGCAGTCTTTTGTTAAACCTTTGTTTGATGCTGAAATTTATTAGCTATTTCAGTCATTGAATTTTCTTTCTTCCTCTTCAATATCCTATATCAAAACAAAGATTAGTTAAATAATAGATCAGGGCATAATAGATTAATAAAAATGTATTGTTCAGCCTTGTCAACTGCATTTTTTATATATAGAATTACCATGGCATAAAGAAAAGTTTTGGATAAGAAACTCACAAAAAAGATCATCACACCTTTAAACAAAAGGCTTTGAACTTCTCACTGTCTTGCAAAATTTCTCAAACAGTTCTACCCATTTCTGAAGACTAATGAATTCACCCTACAAATATATGATTCAAATAGAGATCTTTAATTACAAAGAAAAACATCACTAAATTCAACTAAATTAACAATTAAAAATGGAATAAATAAAGATTTTTTGTGCACACTACAAATATATTATTCAAGTACTTATCAATCAAATATGAAATCTTTAATTACAAAGAAAAATCATCACTAAATTAAACTAAATAACTTCTACTTGACAATATGCAAAATTAACCTTACAAACAGAAACAGAACTCTGCCAACTATCCTATAAAACTTCAGAGCAAGCAGCTTGGCCTCAAACACCCATCATCTGTTATTCTAACAACCTTCTTATCTCGTCTACACACAAGGGTGAGAGTTTTCGTTCCTATCATGAGAACCCTATCTCTGTAAAGACAGAGCCATTGTCAAAACTATGAGGTAGAGGCTGGTCATTGAGCACAACTCCAGTGTGGATGAAAGACGGGCAGATTGTGACGTCATGAAACAGATGACCTCATTCTCCTTCACCAATTTTCCCGAGGATTGGGGTGTGAAGGATCTGCGGGACAAGCTTGTGATCTATGGAAAACTTACAGATGTTTTCTTACTGAGGAAAAGAGATGGAGTGAGACCCCTCTTGAGAACCTGTTCCCTATCCAGGCAGTGAAGAGCAAGGCAGGTGCTCTGAAAGATACAGCAACCAGAAATCTCACAAAAGATGTGGGATGTGGTGAAGTGTTGAAATTCAGTTATAATGCTGAAGAATCAAAGTGGTTGGAGTATTGTGTGGTGGCATCAGTGAAATCAAGAGAGGTAATTTCCACCCTTTAAGATAATTTAGCAGCAGAAGTCATAATGTCAGTGTATCCTTTGGGTGGAAACCTAGTTTTGTTGGAAGTCAAAGATAAAGGTTTGCTAGAAAAATTGATTGAAGGAAAACTCAACTGGTGGAAAGCTTGGTTTGATCATATCAAGCAATGGTCTCCATTGGATGGTGCTGGAGCTAGTAAAAAGTTTGTTTGGCTTCAAGTTGTCGAGGTACCTCTCCACATGTGGTCCGAGCAATGTTTTAATATTGCAAACATACTATACTTCAATACCATTCTCATATATATAACCAAACATGGCTACATTTATCTTCACAACATAGCTGGACATTTTTTTACTATCATTATCTCTACTATAATGTTTGCTGCTATAATTAGCTCTCAACAATGGATAAAGAGTTTATCTTACCATATCTACATGGTTCCCATCAAATGACAATAGGTTGATTTTGTCATATCTACACAGCTTCTAGTGATAGATAAAAGGCCAAATTTGCTATTTTACTTAACCTTCGAAAACAAGCAAAATGCTACACATTTTTATATATTTTTATTACATTGGCTCATAGAAAACGAACAAAGAGTCAAATTTCTCTCTACATATTTCATTTTACTCGCTTCGGAAAATGAATAAAAAGTCAACACAACTCCGTACGGCCGGCAATAGTTGCAACTTTATGATTAGTTAGGATAATTACTCTCTAGTGATAAAAATCCATTGAGATGTGGTCAGCGACTCCTTGATGGTCGCTTATGCATGATGATGCAGTGCTCAATGGGTAAAAACAATCAAAACCACCCTTTAACAATGCAGGTATGACAAGAAGGGCCTTCTTCACTTGCATTTTTAATATTATTATTTTTCTTCTTCACACCCATACCTAAATAAAAAAAGTTATTATATAATTTTATTCAATAAAAAAACTATTACAAAGAAAATTTATTATTTATAACATTAAAAAATAATAGTAAATAATTCAAGAATAAAGAAATTAACTCAAGTAAAAAGAACACAAAACAATTACAAAAAGGAAAATCTAAAAGCTATAAAGTAAACTAGCAATTTTGTAATTATGCTACATATCTGCAACAATGATATCTCTCAACCTTTCCCCCCTGATGGTATCTTCTTCTTCCTCTCTAGAAGTATGAATTTGTTGGGAATTATCTTGATTTCTCAATTCCATATTTACCTTAGCTATCCTCAACTATAAGATCTTTATCAAGATCCACTCCCATTAAAAAATTGTGAACAATGCAACAAGTTAAAATAATTAAATTTTGAGTTTTCATTCCATCAAATGGTTCAGTTCTGCCCTTAAATCTCAAATCTTTTCTCCAAAATGCCAAATGCTTTTTCAATAGCATTACATAGGGCTACATGCCTAAAATTAAATAATTCTTTAGCATTTTGGGGAGGATTGTTTGAGTATTCTTTGAAATAGTAGCGAACTACTTTACAAGGAGTTGTAAGCCCACTTTTTAGCATAATCCTAGCATCAACAAGGTAAAATTTTCCCTCCAGAATTATAAACTTATCTTTTCTTGTTAATAAATCCTTAATAATTTAGAGTTTAAGTTAGTCCCTTCCTTCCTATTAACACATAAGTGAAATCAAATGTACAAGCAAATAAGACATTTTGGGTTAGATATTCTTTTTTACCACGACATTTAGGGGGCATCTAAGGATAAGACTTTTACACGAATGTATGTTCCATCAATTGCACCTGCACAAATTTTAAAGTATGGGTAGAATCTACTTGACATTATCTCCAGAAAGATTTTTGAACCATTTAATTATTTAATGAATTTATCTTCAATTGTTATTATAACTCTCAACACATGATGCAAATGTCAACTAGCAATTTTTTTGGAACCATTAAAACCAAAATTGAATTGAATGATTTTTAGTTTTATTAGCAAGAATAAAGAGTTTTAGATACTTGTTTCTCAACAGTTGCTCTTCTTATGGGTTGAAGGCCCCCCTCCATTTCAAGTATGTCACAAAATTGTAGAAAAGCTTTCAGCCCCATTCTTATGATATAACAACTTCTCTCACTTCCCACAATTTGGTTCATTATCTCATCCTTAACTCGTTCTCTCTCATTAATTATGTTATCATCAAGAAGCTTTCTTTTTTGTCGACTTCAATGAAATCACTGTCATTACCCAATTTTAACCAAGGGCTGAATAATAAAACTGGAAGCCAATGGACTATTTTGCAAAAGGTGTGAAACATGAAGAACAAAAAGGAGGAATTACTAAAATGATGTCGTTTTGCAATTTTGCTGCCCAAATGAACCCTAGCTACCCTTCTTCTGCATCTCATGATCCCCTTTGCTTTTCTTTGCTCTACCGCCAGCTACTCTCCCAAAATTCCCAAATTCTCTTGGTTTATCCATAAATCTACTCAAGTTTGGATAGACCAAGGCATCAATATGAAGAAATTTTCAGATTCGAAATCTTCATCAAGAACCGAAGAGGAAGATTTCGAAATCAATTCAACTTGGTAGTCCTGATCTTTAAGAGGTATGAAGTTAGCCTTGAAAGGGGAGCCTTGAAAGGGGAAGATGCGTGAAGAACTAAATTTCGATTTCGAGTAAGATTAGATTTTTATCTATAATTTAGGGATTTGGATTAGGACTTAGAATTAGAAAAGGATTTGAGTTTTTCTCTTTCTGTTCGTCAATAAAAGGGGGCTTCGGCCAGTCGAGCGAGGGCGGAGAGAAGAAATTCGAGAGAAAGGGAGACAAAAAAACAAAAAACAAAAACAGAAGCGAAAAAGGTGCAGAAGAAAGCTGGGAAAAAAGTGGGTAGGCATAGACGGAGAAGAAAGGGAAATACAAAAGCTTTGTATATGAATTTCAAGAAAATAAAGTTGATTTTCCTACTTTCTTCAGGTATGCGTTTTTCATATATATATATATATATATATATATATATTTTGAACAATCGTCAAGGGCGGATTGAACCGTTGTGTTGCCCCGGAGAGGGGAAAGGTGAATCTTTACAATACAAGACTTGCGGATGTCACCCGGTCCTATGGACCAGGTTGATATATATATATTTGATCTAGTTTCTGTGCTTCTGTTTTTACCATATATATTAATCATTGAATTGTTTTGTTGGTTTGGATTTGTATATAATTTTTGTGAATTTTTATTTTGTCCATAACAATAAGAATTTTTTTTCTATAAAATTTTGTTATCAATATCAATGTGTTTAAATTTTGTTCTATTTTTTCGTGAGTAAGACAAAATTTAACATAAAAAAAGAATGAAATTTGATTTCACAATAACATATAGTAGATTTTAAATGATGTGCATAAAAAAAAAAAAAAAGGATTGTGTAGGTTTAGAAAACAGATTGCGCAGGTTTGGAAAACAGATTGTGCAGATTTGGAAAACAGAATGTAAAATATCTGCCAATTGCCAAGTTCTAGTTTAGATGTTTTGTTTGCTTGAGAATTGATGAAACTTTGATAAAAATGCAAAAATAAATGAAAGTAAATTGACACATGTAAGAAATTTTCTGATGACTTAAATTTAGTTGTTGTGTTTTCTGTTCATTTTACTGTTTTTTATTCTCTTTTAGTGTTTTTCGGTATTTTCTCTTAATAGGAAATTTTGCTTTGCAACTTTCTTTTAGTTAATTTAGTATGTGGCGCATATAGGAAATTTTGGTTTAAGTTGAAGTAGGCTTACTGACCAAGGAGAATTCACTGAAATATTAAAAGAACTGACATAATTGGAGTTTAAGGAGTCATATATTTATTCTTTGCTAGTTAAAATTTTCATTTTTCATTAAATTGATTGAATCTGTTTTTGTCATTTTGACTATAAATGGAAAATACCTAAAAATTAAAATATGTAACAATCATATTTATACGAAAGTTGTGAAGTGCTTCACATATTTCTCACGCTTAATTGACCTTTTGATTTTGGTCAATTTCCACATAAATTTTTTGTAATATATCTCACCTCATTTGCATAGATAACGACTCCATTCATTTTGGCACGTAAACAATTACCAATAAACAACTAAGTATATTACATGAGCAATGGCATTCATCTATATTTATATAATACAAATTAAAATTCTATGTCATATTAAATAAAAAAATATAGAAATAAGTACTACCAATGAAGACTAACCAATATTACATCATAGTTTTCTAGCCAACAGGGTCATATAATACCAAAAAAAAATTAAGACATGGCAAACTCAGTACTCAAATTACTCACTGCCTCCACCAGTTGCAGCAGAATTCGCGGCACCCGACGCAACATTTGAGGATACTGCAGGTTAAAGAAATAGTCAAAACTATAATATTCCATAATTAGAAGAATGTCAAAAATACTATAATAATGCAGCAAAATATATACATACCCGCCAAATTTCCAGTGAACATTTCAGGTTCCAGCAAAGAGTTTAGAATAGTATCCAAGTCAGAAGAATCGAGTGTTACCTCCTTTTGAAATTTCAAAGAAAGAGTTGAAAAGATTCAGATAAAGGGCAGTAGAAGGAAAACACGAAATAGTCTAAAACTTTTGAAAACAGGCAAATAATGTGTGGCTTAGGGGCGGAATCAGGGCCCATTTCTGGGTACGCATAAGGCTCTGATGGTAATAATACAGGAGAACCTATTTTGTTGATGTACACCATGTCATGTTTAACTTCTGTTTATGCCTACTTTTGTTATGAAATGCTTATGCTAACAGTCATGACTTGATCAGTACATTGCTGATTATCTAAATTATGCATAAGAGAAATCTGTCATGAACATTTCTATCCTCTTTTAAACTCAGTAGGTTGTTTTTAGCATGCATTAAAATTGACTAATAATTATATAGGGCTCAGTTATAGCTTGAAGCCAAGCTCACCGTTGTGTATATCATCTCATTTCAGACTAGCTAGCTTAAGAGGTGTGTGTCAAGTGTAGCTGACATTGATCCTACTACTCCAGATTAGTAATGCAAACCTGTATATTTACCAAAACTAGAATTTGGATCCATTATTTTGTAGGCCATTTGTATTTAATTAAGCTTTACTATGTGTGTTTGAAAACACTTTATACTCGTCCACTTTCCAGTTACATGCGGTCTTTTGTTAAACCTTTGTTTGATGCTGAAATTTATTAGCTATTTAAGTCATGTACAAGCTAGCTTAACTTAACTGTATTCTCTTCCAAGAACTTACGTATATTTGTAGCTATATGTGATTCCAAGCTCATGCTTTAGCTTATCTAATTACTGTTATTCTTGCGCTAAGCTTTTCCTCTGCACTACTCTGATTTTAAATGCTAAAAACTACTCTACCAAATTGTGATGGAATACAAAAAATTCTGGTGGAATTTTAATCCATTTTGATTGAATATATGCATGCTGAGGTTTTTATTAGTCGCAAGTCACAACTCATACCATAAGGGCTACCAAAGGGTGAGTGCTTAAACTAGTGTCACAAAATATGCCATTCTCCAACAGACCAAATTCATCGAATAATAGAGTATGTATTTATTATCTGAATGCGTACCTGCTGAAGATCATACAAACTAAGTTCTTCAATGCTCCTTTGTCCAAGCTCATCATAAGTAAAAGTCTTCAGCTCCTCCTGCAGAGGTGGCCACGATGAGGTCGAGGCCTCCTTACCATGAGAAGCCTCCCTTGTTTGTATTTGTGTACCTTCATTGGTTGAAAACAGAGACCCTTGAGTAGCCAGTGCAGTGGCTGCCTGACAGTAATTCTGGTGAGCCTCAGCCATCAACCCACTAATTGGGGAATGACTTGGAGTAGCATAAGAAGTTGCAGGCACGTCCCCATGGGGTACATCAAGTTCTTCCTCTCTTTTTCTCTTCAACTTCCCTTCTGGATCAAATGGGGTTCCCATTGCTGTCACATTCAAACCAAGAGAGTTAGCCCACAAAAATTAAGACAGCAAAGGGCACTTGCAGCTCCAGGTGGGCTGGCAAAGTGCACCAAAATCCTTGGTCCATGCCAAGGTTCAAGTTGCTGCAGCAACAATTGTAAAATCCCCACTTCCCAGAGCTACTTGAATTCACCATACCTCCAAAGTTACTTGAATTCATGTCAGTGACACCTTCTAGTCCCCCCGTTTGAATCATTTCAATTTCGAGGTTCTGCAGGTTAAGAAAATGTTAAAACACTAGTAGTTCTGTAATTAGAAATAACAAAAGCATAAATGCAACATAACATCATATATAACACCAACAGGTCCTAAAAGTTAATAAATTAAAATTAAGTTAAAACACTAATTCCATAGGAGAGACTAATTACAACATTACGACATCTTAAAACGCTA